AGTGGTTTCGGATCAGAAGGTATCCAGAATAATTGGATTAGGTTCCTCTTGTTCTATTCAGACACATGCGACAAGCCTCAAATTTGCTCGCTCCGTAGAAGTGATTTGCAACATTTGGAGCCAAACAGTGCTAGCCCCGATTCTTGAAGGTATGGGTAAATCTGTATTTATGCATCGCCTTCAATGAAGCTGGAGGATCCAACCCTTGTTGTGACCGCGGCCAGTGACCTCACTGCACGAACTTTGCTTAAAGTCCAGCTTGTGAAGTGTCCGTGTCAAGGACGATTCATCTTCATGGACTGGCAGTGGTTCTTCAGTGAGGAGGTGTCTTGCTGACCTGCAAACTTGCATTCTGCAAACTGCGACGGCCTTCATGCAAGGCTATCAGACACAAGCGCCACATTGCGCTTGCCGCCGTCACCATGGATGCAGGGGCTCTGCGCCATTGCGGTTGGCAAGGTGATAAGCAGGCCAGATGCAGCAGAATTTTACAGCATTTAATGCCTTAACTGCGCTTTGCACAGGTAGTGCAAGAAGCACTGCGTCAGCAGGGCCAGATGTTGGAGCTGGCAGATGCGAGCTTGCAGGACATCTCACATGGTGTACTGCATTTTTAGGCAAAACTGTGTCAGCCGGCCCTGCTCTCTTCATAATCAACAGCAAGAGCCAGCCAGAGGAAGAGTAACAGCAGGAGGTAACAGGCGTGGGAAGTATGTTGTAGTAGAAGTGGTATCAGTTGCAAGGGTGGTTGGAATAGTGATTGGGAGTCACCAATAGTAGTAGTAGTAGTAGTAGAAGTAGTAGTGGTAGTAGTAGTAGTAGTAGTGGTAGTAGTAGTAGTAGTAGTAATAGTAGTAGTAGTAGTAGTAGTAGTAGGAGGAGGCCCCCCCCCTAGGCACTACCGTGTTGGTTAAAATTCATTATAGATAGGTTGGGGAAAGGGTTGGGGGGGGTAGTTCCGTACGTTGTACTGTGCATTCATTATTATAGTAAGTTCGGGAATGGGTAAGGGGTGGGGGG